ACAGTTTCAACAAATAATACACTGCATATATTCTTCTTAGTGGTTAATTGCTGTACAAGATGCAGACTTGTGTTCCTACTTACAAACACCATTAGAAAAAATCATTCTATTCATTAAGAGAATGAAACTATATATCTATCCCAACCACTTTGAATACACAGATACAAAATGGACATTCATAGTTATACCCCGTTTTTTATCCTAGTTGTTTTTAAGAGATCTTTTCTTACCTTTTCACTAGCTGCACTAGCATCTTCAAGATCTGAAACTGTGTCTTCACTTTCACTTAAAATGGTTTTTCAAGCTTGTGATTGAGATTTTAAGTCCTGTATATCTCTTTGATTCTGCTTCATGTGATCTATTTCTTTCCTGTATTGCTCAAAGAATCTGTCATTTTTCTAATCTCTATTTTTTTATCGATGTCTTCTTTAGAAGCAGTTATTAATTCTTTTACTGCCATTTTTTTCATATTGGGTTTGCTCTTTATGTTTCTGTAGTTGATTCTTTACTTCAGATGGTATGATTTCAGAGAATTCTTTATTTCAGACAATAATTCCAGTTGAGTTTCTTTATAACTTTCTGCTGTTGCTTATTTACTACTGACGCTATGAATTCATACATTTGAGGTGAGCTAGTAGAAAAGAATTCAGCTCTGAGTTCCTGTATACCTTTCTGCTGTTGCTTATTCACTATTGAAGTTATTAGTTCATACATTTCAGCTGAAGTAGTGTCCTTTGCATTTGTTCTGGGTGGGCACTGGGTTTCCTCCATATGTTTCTGTATTTGATCCTCTACTGCAGATGCTGTTAATTCAGGGATTTCTTTTTTCATTTCCAATATGAGTTCCTCTATACCTTTCTGCAGTTGTTTATTTCAGAAGCTGTTGATTCATTGATTTCAGCTGTGTGATTTCCAATTTGTGCTGTGCTAGTGTCCTCTGCACTTATTATGGGTGGGCTTGGTGTCCGAGATTGCAGTTTGCTCCTTCTCATTGTCATTTTGTGTGGCACTGTCTTCTGACCTTTGTTGTAGAGCTTTGGTGCAGTTATAACCTTAGTACTTACTGAAGTTCTGGTGTAGATCTACAAAGTTTGGATTTATTCTGCTGTGCCTTGCTTGGGTGTGGCTGCTGTGCTTAGCTCCTTCCTGTGCCTGCCCTTGGGAGTGATCCTGTTGTGCCCCTCTGGCAAGATGTTCTGCTCCTGGACTAGCTGGGTGGCTTTGTCCCCTACACTCTCCATGGGACTGCAGGTGCAGAGTTTCATCCCAGGCCTGTATGCCAGGCCTGAGCTGAGTCTGGAGTGGATAAGTTGGAGTAGGGGGAGAGGAAGCTCTCCCATACAGTCACTGGGCCTGGGATAGGACTGGATCTGAGTGTCCCCAGAACGTAGCAGAAATTCTCACTTGGCTGGTGGGGTTGGGGGTTGCTGCGAGTGGTGGTGAGGGTTTCTAAGGGGGTTGAAGAGGGTGTTTCCCACGCTACGCCTGTGCTTGGACCTGCAGGTCCCACTGCCGCAGAGCAGCTGGAAGCTCTCCCACACACTCACTGGGCCTGGGCTAGGACTGGATCTGGGGGTCCCCAGAATGTGGCAGAAATTCTCACTAGGTGGGCGGGGGAGGGTGCTGTGGAGTGGTGGTGGGGTTCCCAAGGGGGTGGAAGAGGGTCTCACTACCCTACACCTGGACTGGGACCAGTAGGTCCCACTGGAGCAGGGTAGCAGGACTTTTGTACTATTTAAAACCATGTAATTTATGATAACTAATTACATCAGCAATAGAAAGCTAGTACTGGAGTACTAGCACTGGGTACTGGATATGTGGTTTTCATGATTAAATATAATTTTAACCCTGTGCATATATTATCAGTGTTTCAATATCTTCACATAATCTCTCTCAGGGTAGAAAGCATTCATAGCTGAGTTTTGAATGATCCATGTTCTTACTCTTTTAATTATGCCAGCGACAATTACATTCATCCTGATGAGTTTCATCTTTTTTTATGTTTTTTTTTTTTTTTGTAGTACCAGGAATTGAACTCAGGACCTTGTACTTGCTAGGTAAGAGCTTATTTTACTGAGCTATCTCCCTTGTTGAGTTTCATCTTTATTATTTTTTTATTTATTTGAGGCGGGGGGGTCATTATGCTTTCTAGGCTGGTGTGAAAATTGTGATCCTCCTACTTCATCCTCCCAAATAGTGGGGATTACAGGAATATACCACTATAATTCATTTGGTTATTTTGTAAAGTCTCAAAGAGAAGAGTACTGTTGTATATGTAGTCCTTTACCAGGGGCAGTGATTCATATCTAGTAATTCCAGCTACCCAGGGGACTGAGGCAGGAGTATCACAAGTTGAAGGCCCATCAGTGAGCCTGTCTCAAAATGAAATACAGAATGAGCTGGGCATGTTGCTCAGTGGTAGCGAATCCCTGGGAGCAGTGCCCAGAACCAGAAAAAAAAAAAACCAAACAAAACAGAGTACCTTTCACAAGAAATACTGCTTCATTGAGCCTTTGGGGATTTTTCTAGTCCATCTAAAAGGTAATTACCCCATTCAGCTTCCCATACTGCTCTTTTGGAAGCTATCTTTTTTTCTGCCTTTTCTTTTCATAGGTATAATCCTACAGTGTTGGTAGTCTGAGGTGCACAATATAGATCCATGTTCTGAAACTCATGACACTTATTTTTATAATAGTGAGGGTTAATGGTGAAAGTAGCAAAACTGCTCACCAAGATAACATGACATCTTCAGTAATCACCATCACACATAAGATGGAGAATGATACTTAAACAACTAGCAATGTAACAAAAACTTTTACTAGGCACCTACTATGTGCCAAATGATGGGGATACGAGCCCTGAACAATGTAGACAATTTCTGCTCTCATCGTGTTCTGAAACTTTTGTTCTTCATCGTTGAAAGTTTGAGAACTGAAGATGGCAAGGTTAGAAAGACAAAACAAAGAGCTAGGAAAACATTTTGTAGAATTATACATCCTTCTGTTTCCTTCTATGCAAGATTTATATTGATGGAACAATGGTGTAAAATAGGAAAGTTCCTGTTATAATTTTAAAAAGGAGAGTAGAAAGCAGTTAGGAGAATTAATGCATACAATGGATAGAACCCTGTGCTATTTCATGGCAAAAATCTCAGATGGTGGAAACATTAACCTAGGTATAATGAGCACTGGAAGAGATCAAAGCACAATTGCCAAGAGAACCTTACTGAAGTAGAAATGACTAGTTCTCAGTATCTGCAGATGTCCTGGCCTGATGGAATTTTGTAATACTTCTTTCCTATCATAATATATTATTTTGTATGACGGCATTACCTACTCTTCGTTTCAAATGATATATATCCTGTTGCAATCCACTAATGCACTTTTTATGAGTTCATTGTTGAAACAACTCTCTGGAACAGTTGTAGGTACCACAGTATGTAATATCAGGAAACATGCTTACAGCCAGGATGGTATTAGTGGAAGTAAAAGGAGAAAACAGTCTTTTCTTCACCCTTGGCAGAGCACCGGCTGAGGTGAAAACTGTTCCCATCCTGAGGGATGTACAGGGTTGACCAGGCAGAGCGCACCCACGTGCAGGTGCCGGAGGCAGGAGCGGCCCCTTGTGGAGGCGAAGGGGAAGCGACACACCTGCAGCGCATCCTTGTGGTGTGCAGATGTTCCTCTTTCTACAAGGGCAATTCTGTCAAAGCAAAGGAAAGCGACGCTTTGTTATATTTGAATTACTGTGTCCCTCCTCCCATGGGCCGCCTACTAGATAATACTCACATTCGGAAACTAAGGGATTTAGTAAAAACGTACACACCTAGTGGGGAAAAAACCCAATGCGTTTCACTAGGTCAGAACTACTAAGCAAACAGCAAAGTAGTTAATTCAACCCACTTTGTTTGCATAGCACAACAACATTGCTGTCAGCGTTTTAAAATCGTCCTGCCACTGCCCCAAAAGTTACAGATGTACATGCGTGGTTTTGGGCAGAAGTCGAGGACCTCAGCGGTAGAGAACGCTCACGGCGGTGCCCCCACCTCTCGGCGATGCCTAGGACAGCGTCGCGCTGGGGAGGCTGCGCGAGCGCGCCTGGGCCGGGCCGAGCGAAGGAGGAGCCTGCGCCTGCGCGCGACAGGGTTGGGGCGGAGCCCGGCGGGAAGGGTGGTGGTGTGCGGGAGGGCGAGCGCGCGCGGGGCCGTCGGGTCGGCAGGGGGCGCTACGCACCCACGCCGCGGTCCGCCTGCCCCCGGGTGCTGTCCGCCGCGGTTCGATTGGAGCAGCCGCCGAGGAGCGCTTGGCGCCATTTTGAAGCGGAGAGGAGGAGGAACGGCCGGGCTGGCTGCGGAAGGGGAGGGGGGGAGGAGGCGATTGGATGCGGCGGCGGCGGCGGCGGATCCCGTAGAGCAGCGGAGTGAGAGAAGTAGCGAGTCCGTCACCCGGAGGTAGGAACAATTTACTTAACGGAAAGGAGATGTTTCTCCTCTCCGGTCGCCGCGCTCCATTTTTCGGTGGCGGTGCCGCGGCTGTGTGTGTGTCTGTGCGTGGCGGGGCTGAAGCCGCCCGCCAGCTCGCCAGCCGGCCGAGACTCGTCTCCCGCGTCGGGGGCTGCAGCGCCGGCTGCCGGGGCGGCCAGGGCGGGGGTGCGGGCCGGGCTG